CGCAGATATGCCCTGCTTCCATGTACATACAAAGGAAGACAAAGATCAATCTATTTATATATATGGATTGTAATTTGTAAACATCTCAGAATACAATTAGTTGAGGTACATAGTATCAAATCTATGATTCCAAAAATCTCATAGAAAATATTTAGCTGATCTAATCTTTTATAAATCAATCAAAGAAGAGATCTGTGATGAAACGAAACATATATTATCATGGTGCAAGTGGCAAAGAATTTCTCTTTGCATAGATCTGCTGATGAAACACATCTGCATGCAATTTTATTTGGTGTTACAATGTCATCGATCTTCCATATGAGTTGATAATCAGACTTAAGGAATCAAATATAATTTGGGAAAAAACGTACCAGCCCATTTTGATTAATGATAATTCCCGCAGTCTTCCACTGTAATCATAAGCAATGTAAACTACATCTCTCTCCTGTAATTGTAACTTCAAAAAAAAGTTTTAAGAAAGATGATGATAGGACATCTAAGCACCAAAACACTACGTATCTTTTGAAATAATTATGTTAAGTGAATGTATTCGTTAGACATGACTATCAATCCTACCCAAATTCATAGGCATACAATATATATATATATATAGTGGAAATCGGACCTTATCTTTAATCGAGTAGGAAAAAAACAAATCGTAAGAGTTTGTCTGAAAGAACCTAAGTCCAAGGAAAAAATGAACAGAATTACAATCAGAAAATATTAAAAGAGAAAACTTTTAGTTCCTGGAAAGCAATTTGGTCGACCAAGAACCCCAATTCTACGTCAGCTGGATGAGTGTTTCCACAATCAACGTCTCATGCAATCCGTCACCAACCTGACGAAAGATTTTGTTGCTGTTTTAATGGAGAGCATTGCCAGGGTTCCTCATCACCAACGATATCGTTCAATCCATCTTTAAATATAGTGCAAATGAAACGTTGAAGATAGAAGTGGAGGGGTTAGATAGTGGATTGTACTGATTTTTGTAATTAATTTCTTCAAATAAATTATGACTTTTGTAAAGGAGACGAAGGGGTTGAAAACTTGAAATAGGTAGAAAATGATGTGGCATCTTCTAAACCAAAATATTGCTTATGATATGCTGACGTGGCTGTTTTTGGAAGAGTTTGTAAATGCTGAAGTGGCATCGTGGTAGAAATTTTTAAAAAGCTGAGGTGGCTAGCCTAAGGAGCTCCAAACAATCTCTTTCATTTTGGGAACAAACGTACCAGCTCATTTTGATTAATGATAATTCCCGCAATCTTCCACTGTAATCATAAGCAGTGTAAAGTACATCTCTCCCCTGTAATTGTAAGTTCAAAAATGAAAGTTTTAAGAAGGATGATGATAGGAAATCTAAGCACCAAGACACTACTTATTTTTTGTAATAATTATGTAAACTAAATATATTCGTTAGACATGACTATCAATCCTACCCAAATTCATAGGCATACAATATATATAGTGGAAATTGGACCTTATCTTTAATCGAGTAGGAAAGAACAAATCATAAGAGTTTGTATGAAACAACCTAAGCCCAAGGAAAAAAATGAACATAATTACATTCAGAAAATATTTTTAAAAAAAAACCTTTAGTTCCTGGAAAGCAATTTGGCCGACCGAGAACCCTAATTCTATGCCAGCTGGATGAGTGTTTCCACAATCAACGTCTCATGCAATCCGCTACCAGCCCGACGAAAGACTTTGTTGATGTTTTTATGGAGAGCATTGCTAGGGTTCCTCATCACCAACGATATTGTTCAATCCATCTTTAAATATAGTGCAAATGAAACGTTGAAGATAGAAGTGGAGGGGTTAGATCGTGGATTGTACTGATTATTATAATTAATTTCTTCAAATAAATTATGACTTTTGTATGAAAGGAGACGAAGGGTTTGAAACTTGAAATAGGTAGAGAATGACGTGGCATCTTCTAAACCAAAACAAACTATTTCTCATGATATGCTGATGTGGCTGTTTTTGGAAGAGTTTGTAAAATGCTGAGGTGGTATCGTGGTAGAAATTTTAAAAAAGTTGAGGTAGCTAGCCTAAGAAGCTTTAAACAATCCATTTCATTTAGTATAGATATTGTATTAAATAAATATGAAGATTATGATAAAAATTAATAATAAGAATAAAAAAATACTTAGATAATTTTTGGTGAGGATTTAATAAAACATCATATGCAGTTGGTGTTATTAAGAAGTTAGAAGAAGAAATTAAAGACTTTGTTCTTCATTCTTTATAAAGAACTTCATATATAATTAGTATTATTTGAGAGAGAGTTCTTGAAAGAGTTCGCCCTAATATGTTTCTCTCCCAGGCCCGACGCCCGAGGAGCTTTGCCGCCGCCGTACTACTCTGTCGTCCAGATGCAGCTCCTCCATTTCTACTCCGCCGGTCGATCTTCCTCATCTTGAAGCTGCACTCCTCCGCCATCACCTGAAGCTTTCCCCTCTTGCCGTCTCTGGTGAGATTTTGATTGGCACATCTCTCATTTCTGGCAGTCTCGACGATGGACTCTACCATGCTTTTGAGGACTGAGCTCCAAACCCATCTCTTTTCTCTGCCGGAACCGCCCGATCCAGTGCTCTCTCTCTCTCACCTCTGGCTAACTTCAACTTCGCCGTACTGGAACCCTCCCCTCTCTCCCGAGCCACCGGATCCACCGGATCCACCAAATCTGTGGGATCTTCCGGCCTAAATATCTTCGGTGTCTAAGCAACTCCATCACTATCCACCGCCGCATTTTGCTCAGTCCCTCTTCCACACAACAAGATCTAGGCTCGCCAATCTACACCGTTCACCTTCCTCTTCTGCGCCTCCGCCGTCAGCTATCTCCTCCATCTTCACTTGGAGCTTCTGGGCTGCTACTCCACCACCATCCATATCACCGGTGCCGTCAAAGCACACCTTTGGGGAAAGCACCACCAGTCTAATCCGATCTCTTGCCGGCGAAACCTCATGCCTCCTGATCCGCCCCACATCCAACGATTTCAACCGGGCCTGCTGTCTCACCCATTAGGTCTTACTGGGCCCAGATCAAATGGGTCAAGTCTTGGGTTTGTTTTACAAGTTAAGTCCAATAAAGGTGTTATGTTCTGAATTTTTGGTGGGCTATGAGGCCCATGACCAATCATCTCTTGCTTTTGGCAAGTCATCTTCCTGTCCGGGAGTTAGAGACAGACGACGACGACAACAATCCTCCTCCGTTCAGTTGCAACCATGTCCGGGAGTTAAAGGTAGCCTACGACGGCAACAATCCTTCTCCATTCAGTTTCGACCATCCTTGGGAGTCAGCCAATGATGGCGATAATCCTCCTCCGATGGTGTCTTCTCCTATATGGAGAACCTTCTCAAACGCTCAGCTTTAACAGTTAAACGGCTTAGTTTAACCATTTTTATGTAGTTGTTAAGAATTTCACTTTAAAATATTTTGTCTTACCTTTAGTTTTTTTATGTAATGAACTATTAAATTTTGTACTTTGTTTGCTTGCAACAACTTTTTAACATCACTTAGTTGATGACAAAGTTTGAAGGTACATCTTTTAAATTAACTTGAAAGATGGATGATTAAGTAAGTAATTAATAACAAATACATAATTAACAATTTAAACGCTGACAAAAAAATTAACAGATTTAAACATCTAAAATGAAACACTTTTTATGGTAAGTTATTTTGGGCTGTCTGGCAGTCATGGATCGTCTGCGGAGTAGAGAAATTAAGTGTGGCTCTCAATGTAATCGATGTGGGGCGGAACGGGAAACAATCAATCATATTTTGTTTGAATGTCCCCTGACAGTACAAACATGGGCATTATCAGTGATTCCTACACCCTTGCTTGATTTTCCCCGGAAGCACTATTTCCTAATATAGCACACTTGTTTTGGCACCTGCCAAATCACAAAAATATGAAGACATACCCATGGTTGTTATGGTACATATAAAAAATGAATGATATTTTTTTTTTTCAAATATCGACCGTGATCCGAGAGAGATTGTGCGTTTAGCGACCGCATAAGTAATTACTTGGGAAGAGGCACATATTGAAACTCCAATAGTTGAGATTTCGATGGTAGCTCTAAACATATCTCATGAGAGGAGTAATACTATGGAGGACTTGATATGTCTAACAGATGGTTTCTGGAAACTTTCATCGCCAAATGCAGGCTTAGATTGGTTCTGTCAAGGAATGGGAGGGATGAATACTCTAATGAGGGCACGAAATATTGCGCCATAGTTTATCGCCGTTACATGCGGAATTAGAAGCTTTGATTTGGGCAATGCATTGCATGCTTGATCATGGGAGATTGGCGTTGACTTTTCTCATAAACTGTTCCGAATTGGTGAAAATGGTGTCGAACCCAACGGAGTGGCCAGCTTTCGCACTACACTTGGAGGAATATGAGATCAGCCGCCTCCTTTTCAATACTTCAGATACTGCGAGCGCTGAACACAAATGCAAACAAGTTAGCACGAAGTACATGAGAATACCTTCATTGTTTATATTATATGAAATTAATCCCAGCGTCTCGACTTACTGAGATGTTTTAGAATTTTAGACTGTTGACAAGAAAAAAAAAACATACTGTATATGTTATCGATTAAATTGTGTGTGATTAGATAATACTCTTGAGTATTGACCATCCCACATAGAAAAACAACAAACTCACTACTGGATAAAACATAAATCTATAACTACGACATAAAAACTTTATAAAGGAAAAATTAGATCCCAAGAAATATTTAGTATCGTATATGGGAAAACAACAAACCCACACTACTGGGTTAAACATATATCTACAACTATGAAATAAACATTATTTTAAAATAAAATTGAGGTCTATACAAAAAAATTGAAATTTTGAAATATAATGAAATTTAAAATATAATTTGCTCCAAAAAATAATATTTACTATGTGAAATAAAGTACAAATATATGACCTCATTAATATTATAATAATAATTTGTATATATTAACTTCGTTTACAACCAGAGTTTCAGCACATTCTCCGTGTGTTGAACACAAATGTTGATGGTAAGCAGAAGATTATGTTTGCCCTTACCTCTATCAAAGGTATTGAGAGGCAATTGTCCAACATTGTCTGCAAGAAGGCTGATGTCGACATGAACAAGAGGTTTGTAGCTTTTTGTCAGTCTCTTCTACGTTTGCCTTTCTGCAAGATAGAATAGTCAATGGTTTGTGATATATTATTGAAGGTCTAGATCATATATTCTCCTCTAGTTTTGGGTTCCTGTAGCCAATTTATTACCAGTGATGATTGATTTTTGTGTGTATGCTTGTCTTATCAATGATTTGCATGTTTTGACTGTCTTATTCTTCTTCTTTGAAAGGCTAGATGTGAATTTTTCATTGTAATTTGAGATTCATGTTTAGTCATATTGATGTAACAAATGTGAATAAGCAACTTAGCGATATTGTCTAGGTTTGATTTGGCAAAACCTGACTAGATACTTTGTTTAATTCGTTGTTATATGCTTTCTTGAGTTGTGTCTTAGCAAATTCGTTACGGCTTTGTGAGAGATTTATGTCTTATACATTACATGATCTACTTCTATAGAGCTGGTGAGTGATCTGCTGCCGAGATTGACAACCTGATGAATACCGTTGCAAACCCCATGCCAGTTCAAGATTCCAGACTGGTTCATGAACAGGCAGAAGGATTACAAAACGGAAAGTATTCCCAAGTTGTCTCTAACGCACTGGACATGAAGCTGAGAGATGATCTGGAATGGAACGTCTCAAGAAGATTAGGTAAGTAAAAAACCAATAGATGATATGTGATCTTATTCAATTGCAATAAACTTGGTGATATACTTGAAGTACTATATGATTAATTCTTAAGTGATAAAAGCTTAAGAAACAGTTGTACTTTGATTAGGTACAAATGAGAAAAGAAATCTATTAAATCGGTCAAAAATAATTCCGCTGATGCAAAAATGTGTACTTTTTCTTACCAAGTCAAAAATTTGTAGTACTATATGATTACAAGATTCAGTTATAAAAAGAATAACTCAGATCAGAGATGTAGAAAGTAGCCTATGTATGAAACACATCATTTACACTTACTTGTGAAGCTTTACCTGCATCAGAATCATCTCCATGTTTCTGTTGTTGAGTCTCGTTGGAAGAGAATAGCTCTTCCTCTCCTATCACCTGGCTTGGACGAGGAATTACCGTACCAGATCATCCCGATTAGTGCAATAACCATGCCGAGAACCACGTGTAGGTTAAGACTATCTCTCTCAAAGAATAAAAGCCCATTATCAGCATTTGGAACGACATCGCTGTGTTTCTCCACAGTAAATGAACTGGCTCAGGTTCGTCCCGATTGCTATTTTCCACAAGAGGGTTATAAACCTCTGCAGAATCATTACAACGTATTGAGTTATAAAACATGACTGTATTGCATTCGTCTTTGAGAAGCCCGAGAACTAAGCACAATTTCATATGATACAACAAGAAAAGTCCAGCTGAAATGTTATCATCAAGAAGAATCTCTATATATTTATAGGGTCATAACGGTGTAAGGCGATAGTCAGCGACTTAGCAACAAGAATCCATACTAGGCTCGGTGTGACATCAAGAACATCTAAAAAATGTTTTTCAAGTAGTACTAAGTGGATTGTTTAGAATGATTTGAGTGTTTTCTGGCACTTACCAAAGAGACAAAGTTTTAGTCATACATGTCTCCTTGTTTGTTTGCCAGTCAATAGTCGAGAAATGGACAGACTAATAACAACGTTGCAGCCTGAGCTGGATCAGTATGACCCAATAGGTTGAATGAACTAAGTGAATACTTTCACTGAGGATAATGTACATACTGCAAATAAAAAGATGAACTTGGTGTCAATCTTAGGTTAAAGATGAAACACATGTAACGTAAGTTATGTTACAAAATCTCTAAGTACTTACGTATTGTTGTAAAGCAGTACTCCACACACAGCAACAAAAGATGTTACGAGACCTTCGGTGTTTACACTAACATCAGTAACAGTGCAAAGACCAACACCCACAAGAACAAGTCATATTCTAAGGTTTGTGTCTCTCGAGTAACTGATCTTATCGAACACAACTTCCAGCAAGCAAGATACATCAATCATGCTGAGTTTTGCAATCTGACAAACAAATCAGAAGAATACACCATAGAATCAACAGAAGTGTTTCTTTCCACAAACAAGAGAAAACTAGTTTGCAAAATTTCACCTGATAAAACCCAACAGAATTCCACATAAGACTAACATTCATTCCAAATATTCAATGGAAAAAAAGAAACTCTACTTCCTATAAGAACTTTGTAATCTGAGTGGTTTTACTGGTTTGTAGGATAAAAACACAAAATCATAATACTCCTAAGACGATTATTAAGCAGATCATATAGCAAAACCTTACTGTTTGATGATTGATACTCCTACATTTGCTTCCTGCACATCTCAGTGTCTCCATCGTTCTGGTCACAATGTAAATTTGCATCACCCGGCGGGTTATCAGAGAAGAGTTGTATACCACATTCCTTTATTTCACAAATATCCCAACCAAACTTTATTTCCACTGCGTCATAGTTCAATCTGGCTGAAGAATTACTGCTTTCGTTTAGAGGGAAGCAACAGTCGAATACAGCTACATGATGGTCCAACAGACGTGTGATGAAGATGAGAATTTGAAGATCAGTAGAGTGAAAGTGGTTCCCTTGTTTGCCTTTGAGGAGGCAACATACCCGGATAATACTTTTGAACCAAGTGGGCTTAGTTGCATCAGTGTCAACATAACGCAAGCCTTAAATGGTAAAGAAGATCCATAGATAGAGCTCTGAAGCAAAGGGATCATCAAGTAACTTCCAGTAGCTCGGTGAGTGAAAAACTCGGGCACTTCTCCACCAGGTAGGATCATGTACTTGAAAACCGAGCTACGTATGAGAGATTCTTGGTCTAATTTGAAGCAGTTAATGAAATGGAGAATGGTTTCCGGGTTTCGAAAAGAGTGAGATATACTCTTGAGTGATTTGCAATTCTGTGCACGTAGTATCTTGAGTGACATCTGGAGCTCAGACAACGACTCAAGCTGTCTACAGTTTCCAGTGTCAAGTTCTTCAGGTTTAATGGAAACCAATGAATGTGGAAGTCTCCTGATATTGTTGTCAGACATGTTTAAATCTCCAAGAGGAGCAGCAACCACCTGAGGATCATTATCCCAGCTATCTTCGGTCAATGCCCAGCAGAACGAAAAATCTACCTCCTCAACATGTTTCAGTTTAGAAATATTCGGCGAGATACGTCTTAACCTGCTGCAACCACTCATCAATAGACGAGTAAGACCAGATATATCCTCAATCCACGAAGAAACTTCTTTGCTCGCAGTGTTTTCTAAAAAGAGAACTGAAATGTTCCGAGAAATGTCAGGAAAACTGATAATCCGTGAGCATCCATACAGAGTGAGGGTAGAGAGAGACTCCAAGTTGATGTCTGTTGGAAGTGTAAGGCTTTGAACTCTCAAAGTCGTTAAAGATCGGACAACACAGATTTTACTCTGTTTTGTTTCTCTCTCCCTGTTTCTTGTATAACACTCAATATACTCACTTTTATGTTTCGCTCTATTCTTTGTAAAACGAAAACCACATACTTTTATTAGATATATGAACTGTATTTATAGGTTTACATAACACACTTTGACTAAGAGACATGTCTCTAAAAGACAACCCAATGTAGAGACACACACATACATAAGTAACTGATTTTCAGTTACAAATCTATTCGTAACTCTTCGGCAAGTGATACAAATAGTTTATACATTATATAGTTACTCAACTATATAATATACAACTTCTAATATATTGAAATAAGATGAAGACTTGATCACTTCCAACAGGAAGAACCTCGAGATTTTTGCATTCTTCCATGTCCAATGTTTTCAGTTTCTTGAGATTCCGAATTGAAGAAGGAAGAATCTCTAGACTCTGGCAATCAGCAAGATATAATTCCTCGAGGTTGGTAGCTTTGGAAAGATCTGGGATTTCTTTAAGCTTTTTGGATCTCCATAAACTCATACTCTTGAGGTTTGCAAGTGGCTGCACAAAAATTTAAGGCATGCTTAAGAATATTGATACATCTTCAACGAAGGTACCATTATGAAGATTTAGTATATAATTGTAATTAACTCTTTCGGTTAATCTAAAAACTTCTTTGAGAACCTTCCCACATCTTCTCAAGCTCGCTATCTATCATATCGAGTTCAACAAGATTCGCTGGTGAAAAATTTGAAGGCATGCATTTCATTGGGTATGCATCCCACTGTAGTAATCTAAGTCTACGAGACAAAGACTTTATGCCTTTGGGCAAGTACAACTTATTTTCTTAATTACACTCTAACGGGTTCTTGTAAATCTTAAGAAAGCGGAGATTACACATTCCTTTGAATGTTGTCTCATCCAACGTGAGCAACTCTTCAAGCTCTGATATAATTCCTCTACCCATTTCTTGTAGTAAACTATGCATCTCTACAGTTTTCCACTAGTGTGTTATACATATGAGCGACTTATCAACTAAAACTTTGAGACCAATGTTAACATCAAGGTCACTATCAGCGAGCAACCATTTTACGTTATCAACTTTTGAACCATTAAATACACACGCTATGTGAAGAAAAATCTTCTTATGTGTTTCCTTCAACTCATCATAACTGAATCTTAATGTTTTCTTGATTTCACCATTCAAATAAGTTCTGAGCTCAGATAACATCTCCACCCAATCCTCCTTGTTCCTCCCTTGCAAAGAAGAACCCAAAAGCTTAAGACCCAAGGGAAGATTACCAGCAAGTTTCGAAACTTCAGCAGCGAACTTCATAAAACCATCAGCCGCAGATTTTTGCCTAAAAGCGGATAAGCAGAACATCTCGAGAGCTTGATCTTCAGATGGGAAACCCACTTCGTAAACACGATCAATACCATGAATTCTTAACAAGTGTACATCCTTTGTTACCACAATAATTCTGCTACCAGAACCAAACCACAAAGTTTGTCCAACTAAAGCATCTAGAAGCAATATCATCCACATCGTCAAGAACTATTAGAACTTTATGGTTCTTTAGCCTTCCTCCCAACACACTTAAATGATCTATCTTTACATCATTTTGGTCTAAAACTTCAGATAGAAATCCCTTTTGCAGTTGCAGCTTCACTCCATAATCGTCTAGGTTGGTTTTTCTATAGTTCTTTTGAGTCTTATCTACAAAGTATCTATCAATGAAGACAAAGCTTTGGAATTGATAAGAGAGTCTACCAAATAAAGCTTTTGCAATGGTGCTCTTATCAATTCCTGAAGGATCCCAAATCCCTACCATCACCACTTCTTTAGCATCCAAACACAACAATGAAGCCATTTTGCTACATGAGCTTCGATACCAATCAATCCATCAAAATCATCTGATGGTGAACAATTCAGCTTATGTGATACATCGTTAACAAAATCTTCGATCATGTGTGCTTCATTGTCCCTTTAAACCAACAGTAAACTATCAATTTGAAAAGCTAAAATTCAAAAGAGAGAATAGAAATTAGGATTCAAAAGAAGAAGAGGAAACTCGTACCATTTACGAGAATGGTGTCCATGGATATTCGCTACTTCTTTCAAAGCAAGCCGCCATTGTTTTACCTCGTCCGAGTCAAGTCTCATACACTCTTATGAGAAATGAAATGATCTATATCACTTTCATATGATCCACAATACTCATACTAATGTAGATTGACCATTTTGCCATTAATGATTGACCATTGACCGAGATTGGAGTTGACCATCTCGAGTTGACCATTGATCATTCTTTGTCTCTCTCTCTCTCCCTCCCGACGAGAGACGGAGACGGCGATTGCCTCCACCTCCGTCGACCTCCGTTCGCCGCCGTTGCACCGCTGGAGCTTCATTGAGGTCCAAAATTGAGGTCTGTTTGGTTGCAATGAATCATTGGTGTTAATTTTTGGGAAATTTTTGGTTTTAGGAATTGGAAATTAGGATAAATGATAGATTGAATTGGATTTCATGCACATTGGTGTTTAACGAATGTTTCTGGGTTGAATATGACTCTATATTGGCTACAAATGCATTACAATGGCTGGATCGTAGTGAATTGTAAGTTTTTGAAATCTCTAAACGGACTGGATCTGAGAACGAGAACTGGATCTTGGTCATGCGATAATAGTATAACTAGTAATACTAGAAATACTGGAAAATGATGTATAACTAGTAAAGTTAGTATATAACTGGGAACAAAAAAATAGTATTAAATGAGTTTTTTTGGATTTTATTGGCAGGTTAAAATGAGCAACTATGTTACCATACATTATAAATGTGAAGGTCGCATCAATGGTCTAGTGTTGAAGACATCAGTTGAGAAGATAACAATACCGATGATAGAAGCTAAGTTATACAAGAAGCTTGGGTTAGATGAAAGTTAGATTAAATTGCAATTGAGTTACATTGCTAGTTTGGCTGGATGTGAGAAAAAGTCGTATATTTGTGATGATGAAGATCTGTTCGTATATCTATCGCATGTTGATAATGAGAGCCGTAGATGTGTTTTGATTGTGGAGTTGATGAGTACACCGGAACTGCCCGTGCAACAATCGAGAGCGGGGAGAAGCTCTTATGGTATGAATTATGAAAATTCACAGCGCATTGATGATGAAAACGGAGAAATACGACCAATAAGACCCAATGCCACAACATTGCATGTTGACAACGGAGAAAGAAATGAAGAAGAAGAAGAAAAAAGGATGATGTTGATGATGATGATGATGATGATGATGATGATGATGATGATGATGATGATGATGATGATGATGACGATGATGGTGGGGGTAACGGTGTGGAATCATCGGATAGACGTGATTATTATATTGAAGCACCATTTGTTGCTGAATGTAGTCAGAGTTTAGAGTCATGGGAAGACGGTTTGGATTTGAGTACTGATCAAGAATTTCCTAGTAAGAATGCTGTTGTAGAAATAGTTCATAGAGGCACATTTGTTAAATCTTTCGGGTATGTTATAAAAAATTCTGATACTCAGCGATGGGTGGTAAAATGCGCACAACGAAGTTGTACGTGGAACATACGAGCAGCAAAGATAGCAAAATCGGATGCTTTTTTTTATTAGAAATTACAGGAATATGCACACAAGTAACTATGCTAGTCAGAGTGAAGAAGGCAGCGTGAAGAGGAGAGGATCAGTACGACTAGTTGCAGCTATTGTGAGTGAGCATTATCCCGGGAAAATCGAGACTCCAACTCCTAAAGAAATCATGACACTTGTGAAGAGGAAAGTTGGTGTAGAGGTATCATATTCCACGGCTTTGAGAGGGAAGAATCAATCAATTTCTGATATGTGTGGTACTCCGGAAGATAACTACAGGATGTTTTATCGTTATTTGTACATGTTAGAGGAGCTGGATGAGGGTACGAAAACAGCTGTGGAACTGGATATGGTGGGAAAATTCAAGTATTTATTCATAGCTTTGGGGGCTTGCATTGATGGGTTTCAGTTCATGAGGAAAGTGATTGTGGTGGATGCAACTTTTCTCAAGGCCAGATTTGGTGGTGTACTTGTTTTTGCTGCAGCTCAGGATCCAAATCGTCACATTTATCCCATAGTATTCGGTGTACTCGACGGCGAGAACAGTGCTAGTTGGGGCTGGTCTTTCGAGAAGCTGAAAACTGTTGTAGACAACTCTTCGGAGTTGGTATTTGTGAGTGACAGAAATACCAGCCTCATCAACGCCTTAGCTAACGTCTATCGACAAGCTCATCATGGGTTTTGCTTATGGCATTTGGCTCAAAACGTGAAAGGTCATGCTCCAAGCGCAAGCAGAGCCGTTGTCGCCAAAAAAATCCAAGAGTGCGGTAAGGCTCATACGGTGGCTGAGTTCAATATGCTTTATGAGGCGTTTAAGCAGAGATTTCCTTCAGCGGCGAAGTATGTGGAGGAGACCACCATGCCACAGAAGTGGGCAAGATGTGTTTTTCTGGTTGCTAGATACAACTTCGACACAAGCAACTCCGTGGAATCTCTAAACAAAACTTTTAGGGATGCGAGGAAGTACTCCTTAATACCCATGCTTGATACGATAGTTCGAACGTTTTCTGATTGGTTTAACCAGCATAGGAACGAGTCCGTGGTAGGAACGAATGCTCAGAAACTGGTTCCTTTGGTTGAGAACTTCTTGCACGACAATTGGCATATAGCTGAGAAATTAGATGTGAGGGAGGTAAACGGTTGTTACCTTGAATACGAAGTCATGTCAGAAGAGGGAAAGTTTTATTTGGTGGACTTGGCCAATAAAACTTGCAGTTGCAGGTTCTTCGTTATTCATAGGTATCCTTGTATCCACACATTAGCCGCTTTCATCTCCTTCAAGAATAATGGAAGACGTGATATCCGCATAGAATATTATGACTTGTGTTCGAAATACTATTTCATGGAGATGTGGATATTGGCTTATAGCAGATCGATCTACATGGTGCCCGATATGTCTGTGTGGATTGTACCGAATTACATCATGGAGAAGGAGATAATACCTCCGGATCGCGTCAAGGAAAAGGGTCATCCAAAAGAAAAAAGATTTCCGTCAACAGGAGAAAGGCGCCGAAGGGGAAGGACACAGAACAAACTCAAGTGGGGAAGGACACTAGCAGGGTTACTATATGGAGAAGAAAAGTTTTAAGCTTTTGTTACGTGTAACTCTTTTTTGCTTTTGTAGTACTATGTTATGATTTCTGTGTAATACTGTTATAACTATGCATGATTGGTGACTTTTCAAAGTAATTATGTATTGTTATTTAAAAACCAAAACTAATCACCTAAATTAGTTAATTTTGTTAGAACTACAACTTATATGTCATACAAACCTAAGAATTAACAAAACACGAGTTCAAACTTCTTGTTGCACCAGAGTTCTAATATCGGATCTTTAACATTCTCTTATACTTTAAGAAACACTTTCTTATGGAGAACCAACTTGTTAACTAATGGTACAAAAATACCATATTCAAACTTATTGTTGCATAGGACAATGATATTCATATGTAAAACCATATAATTAAATTGTAATACTAGAAAATATAAGTTTTAGGTGATGTAATATACGTTTTAGGTGGTGTAATACTATTTCAAGATTCTGTATAACTAACAATCTGGTATTACTATGTGTATTTTTTCGGCGGGAAATTGATTTTTTCGACGGGAAATTGATTTTTTTCGCAGGAGAGTGTACTTTTCAAAAAGTTTCGATTTAATCTAAAATTCATTACAAACTCTCGAACCTCTCTCTGTCTCTTAAAATCGATCTCTCTCTCAATCTTAAAATCGATCTCTCATCTCTCTCTCAAAGAACTCTCTCATCCTCTCATCTCCCTCTCTCTCAAAGAACTCTCTCTCACACGATCCAAATGGATTCGGATTGTAGCTATCACTACACGGACAATTTCCTCATCGACCCATACGAGGAAGAGTTGAAGGAAGAGAAGAGGCGCCGCAAGGAAATGGAGAAGATGAAGCAGCATTGGGACATGGTTGGATTCGTCGCCGACGGCCAATATGGGATTCCGAGAAGATGCCCATGTGGTGGATCTATCAAGCACGATGTATCTCCTTCTCCAAAATTTAAACGCGATTTCGATACTCAACCAGGCAGTAGGTACTTCACCTGCACCAAATTTAAGGTATAATCTCTATAATTTCAGATCTGGGTTTTTTCTAGGTAAAACTAGTAAAACTAGGTTAAACTATTTAGATGTTCTTCGGGTGTAAAACTTGGAATACTATGCATAACTATAATGGATATTGCTCGTTTTTTTTTGTTTTTTTGCTAAGATGATGGACTCCACTTTCGTCAGCCATGGGTTTTCGGAGTCGGACAAGAGATTGAGAAGCTAGTTATGAAAGTTGAAGAGCAGAGCAAGACGATTGAAAAAATGCGAAAACAGATTCAGATCCAAGCCGAAGAAATAGCCAAGCTCAAAACTTAACGAATCTGCAATTTCCTTTAATTATTGTTTTAATTGTTGTTCAAGACTAACATTTTCATTTTGCTTGTATTTTCTTAAGTTATCAATGGCGGCTATTAATATTACTAATATTACTTAGTATTTTTTTAGTATCACCTAGTATTACTAACTTTTCTTAGTATTTCTTTTTCTAGCAACACTTATCACGACTAGTTTTACCTAATAATACATGAATTCAATAATTCAAATTAAAAACATAGTTCATCCAAGATCGAAAATAAAAACAAAGTACAGTTCCAAATAAAAACAAAGCACTAGTTCCAAATAAAAACAAAATACTAGTTCCAAATAAAAACAAAGTACTAGTTCGAAATCAAAACAAAGTTCTACCAAATATAAAAATAAACATTGTACACGATTTCTCTTGTTCAAGAGCCTGAATCCTTTCTCGCTTTCACATAGTCTTCAAGTGGCTTTATCATGTCATCAATTTTATGGACCATATTGTTGAGCAAACCTAACTACTCTGTCATGGTCTCCATCGCGCTAACGACATCCTCCAGAGACATTTTCTTAGCTCGGGGTTTTTTCCTTGCTCTTTCCTCCACCATTTTTTCTCGCCCTTTCACATCTTTCTCCTTCATGTCTTCAAACACAACCATCAATCCATTATCAATACGTTTTTCCCAACTTTCCACAACAGGATCGTGCTCATCAACATCGTCCTCCCATTCCATTATCAAATCCAACATCGCATTCTCCTCCTCCGAAGCTATCAGCACATTATCAATGTCCTGTCAAGTTAAACACATTTAAACAACCAATGTTAACAAGTTTCATTGTTTTTTTCAAATCTGCAATTACTACTAACCTTGTTCTCGCATCCAAATTTTTCATATCAAAGTCTCAAGTGGTCAGCCTCTCAAGTCGCATTTCTTCCGCTTTGACCTGCACATCCTCGAACAATCGACGTTAGGATTTGGTACAGCTTCTTGGAAGCTCTGTCTCAGTGGCATAATGGCCTCCATCGCCAAAAGCTACAAACATACGCATATAATTAGACTTAACTTAAAATGAAAAGGAAAACAATGCAAAAGACAATCTTAAAATGAAAAGGAAAACAATGCAAATGACAATCTTTTACCTCCAAAGGAATGCAAAAACGAGGAAACGACCATGCACTGCCCAATCCCTTCTCAACAAAGTGCTTCATTATATCCGAAATGGACTCTAAGATGCGATCAAAAGATAATCTCCCCCAAGGAAATGTCTTACACTTATCTAAATCATCAGCATATTTTAAGAATACATTGAGCACGGGTTTCGCGTTGTCTCCGGTTTTGGTGGGAGAGTAGATGATGCTGCTCAAGAAATACAACACCGCCATCTAGAGCCTATCTCCACTATCATCCGAGCCCATCTCCTCAAGCTTTTTCTTCACGTCCTCCCTTAAAACCTTCTTTTTGTCAGGAAAATACTTTTGCTTCAAGTAAGAGTTTCCTCTTTTATTCCAATAGAGAGGTTAGTTGCTTCAATTGAGTCCTGAGATCAAAGCACGCTCTTGTAACCCATATCAAACGGCAACGCCATTCACCACAAACCAAGCCTCCTTCTGCCTTTCAATCCTAGCAGTACGCAGCAACAACATCCACAATGGTTGAACCATATGATTGCTCTTCGGCATGTGAAGAATGTGGCAGAACTGTGGATACTGCTCAAACCACTCTCCTTCCGTCGGAGTCAGATCCACTTTCTCAAATGTCTCCATAACTTCTTAGACAAAACACCGTGTTGGTAGTTTAATGCTCTTGCTATACTGATCAGGCTTTAACTACATGTCTGGTCGCATGGCAATCGTCTCTTCAAAGGCACCCTGCAACATATATACAATATTAATACCAAACTCAGAATATTACCAAACTCAGAATATTACAAAAAGTACTAGTTTTACCCAGTTTTCTTAGTTTTACCAACATGCTAGTATTACATAATTATCTTAGTTTTACAATTTCCGACAATTAACTTAAGGATTCCGGCCATCGGAATCACCATCTCTGGAGGCTTCTCCTTCTGACTCATTTCCGCCTCCGGTTACTCCTTCGACCATCTTGTTACCGCGTCCGTCGTTTCTGCTTCAACAACCAGAGGAGGAGCCTCTCGAGCCGGAACCCCCTTCGAGAACTAAACCCCCTCAGTCGTTTGTGCTTCGACAATCGGAGGAGGAGCCTCTCCACCCAGAATCGCCTCGGTCGTTTCTGCTTCAACAATCGGAGGAGGAGGAGCCTCTCGAGCCGGAACCCCCTGCGTCGTTTGTGTTTCGACAATCGGAGGAGCCTCTCCACCCGGAATCTCCTCCATCGTTCGAGACGTCGTTCCCAATTTTGTTGTCTTATGCTTCTTCGCCGCCAGCTTCTGACTCGGGCTCGGGTTCTCCTTAGGCATTTTTCGCTTCTTCGCCGCTGGCTTCTGACTGCTCGGGTTCTCCTTACGCATTTTTCTCGTCCTCGGCATTGTTTGTTCTCTGTCAATTCTCCCTCTTTCTACCGCCGCGCTAGGGTTTCTTTTCCGGTTTCGGTGAGAGATCTAGAGATGACGGTTCAGTGTATAAGGAGAGATGATGAGAATGAGAAATGTTTTTGAAAAATTTGAAAGGAAATTCGAAGAGATTTGAGTGATTTTCGGGTAAACCCGATCCATTGTTAAAGCCCAAATTTTCTCGGGTTAGGCCTAGATAGAAATGGTAATTTCATTAGATTTGGTCTGGTTTTTCAGTAATTTCCCTTTTTCTATTTAATTTTTTTTGTAAAAATTTTTAAATTAAAAAGGAGCATTGCAGCTCAATCAGTAAGCGATACGAGCATTGTAGACGATTTCTCTATCTCGTCCTTTCTCGCAGGTTTTCTCAAAGGCCTTACCAAAATAATCTATTTGATGCGAGTCATCGTCTCATATACTCTTATGAGAAATGAATTGATCTCTATCACTCTCGTGTGATCCACAATGCTCTTAATAATGTAGAATGACCATTTTACCATTAATGATCAGACCATTGACCGAGATTGGAGTTGACCATTTCGAGTTGAAAATTGACCCATTCTCATTCTTTGTCTCTCTCTCCCTCCCGACGAGAGACAGTCGACGACGATTGCCTCCACCTCCGTCGACCTCCGCTCGCCGCCGTTGCACCGCTGGAGCTTCATTGAGGTCCGAAATTGAGGTCCGTTTGGTTGCGATGAATCATTGGTGTTAATTTTTGGGAAATTTTTGGTTTTAGGAATTGGAAATTAAGAGAAATGATAGATTGAATTGGATTTCATAAACATTGGTGTTTAACGAATGTTTATGGGTTGAATATGACTCTATATTGGCTACAAATGCATTACAGTGGCTGAATCGTAGTGAATTGTAAGTTTTTGAAATCTCTAAACCGACTGGATCTGAGAAGAGTTCGATCTGAGAACTGGATCTTGGTCATGCGATAATAGTATAACTAGTAATACTAGAAATACTGGGAAATGATGTATAAATAGTAAAACTATTATAACTGGGAACAAAAAAGCAGTACTGAATGAGTTTTTTTGGGATTTTATTGGCAGGATAAAATGAGTAACTACGTCACCATACATTATAAATGTGAAGGTCGCATCAATGGTCTATTGTTGAAGACATTAGTTGAGGAGATAACAATACCGATGATAGAAGCTAGGTTATACAAGAAGATTGGGTTAGATGAAAGTAAGATTAAATTGCAATTGAGTTACATTGCTAGATTGGCTGGATGTGAGGAAAAGTCGTATATTTGTGATGATGAGGATCTGTTGGTATATCTATCGCATGTTGATAATGAGAACCGTAGATGTGTTTTGATTATGGAGTTGATGAGTACACCGGAACTGCCTGTGCAACAATCGAGAACGGGGAGAAGCTCTTATGGTATGAATTATGAAGATTCGCAGCGCATTGATGATGAAAGTGGAGAAATAGGACCAATAAGACCCAATGCCATAACATTGCATGTTAACATCAGAGAAAGAAATGAAGAAGAAGAAGAAGAAGAAGAAGAGGATGATGATGATGATGATGATGATGATGATGATGATGATGATGATGATGATGATGATGATGATGATGATGATGATGATGATGATGATGATGATGATGATGATGATGATGATGATGATGACGACGACGACGATGATGGTGGGGGTAACAGTGTGGAATCATCGGATAGACGTGATTATTATGTTGAGGCACCACTTGTTGTTGAATGCAGTCAGAGTTTAGAGCCATGGAAAGACAGTTTGGATTTGAGTACCGATCAAGAATTTCTTAGTAAGAATGCTGTTGTAGAAGTAGTTCATAGAGGCGCATTTGTTAAATCTTTCGGGTATGTTATAAAAAATTCTGATACTCAGCGATGGGTGGTAAAATGCGTGCAACGAAGTTGAACGTGGCATGTACGAGCAGAAAAGATAGCAAAATCGGATGCTTTTTCGATTAGAGCTTACAGGGATATGCACACATGTAACCGTGCTAGTCAGAGTGAAGAAGGCAGCGTGAAGAGGAGATGATCAGTACGACTAGTTGCAGCTATTGTGAGTGAGCATTATCCCGGGAAACTCAAGACTCCAACTCCTAGAGAAATCATGACACTTGTGAAGAGGAAATTTGGTGTAGAGGTATCATACTCCACGGCTTTGAGAGGGAAGAATCAAGCTATTTCGGATATGCGTGGTACTCCGGAAGATAACTACAGGATGTTGTATCGTTATTTGTACGTGTTAGAGGAGCTGAATGAGGGTACGAAAACAGCTGTGGAACTGGATATGGTGGGAAAATTCAAGTATATATTCATAGCTTTGGGAGCTTCCATTGATGGGTTTCAGTTCATGAGGAAAGTGATTGTGGTGGATGCAACTTTTCTCAAGGCTGGATTTGGTGGTGTACTTATTTTCACCGCAGCTCAGGATCCAAATCGTCACATTTATCCCATAGCATTCGGTGTATTCGACGGCGAGAACAGTGCTAGTTGGGGCTGGTTTTTCGAGAAGCTGAAAACTGTTGTAGACGATTCTTCGGAGTTGGTATTTGTGAGTGTCAGAAATACCAGCCTCATCAACGCTGTAGCTAACGTCTATCGACAAGCTCATCATGGGTTTTGCTTATGGCATTTGGCTCAAAACGTGAAAGGTCATGCTCCAAGCGCAAGCAAAGCCGTTGTTGCCACAAAATTCCAAGAGTGCGGTAAGGCTCATACGGTGGCTGAGTTCAATATGCTTTATGAGGCGTTTAAGCAGAGATTTCCTTCAGCGGTGAAGTATGTGGAGGAGACCACCGTGCCACAAAAGTGGGCAAGATGTGTTTCTACGGTTGCTAGATACAACCTTGACACAAGCAACTCCGTGGAATCTCTAAACAAAACTTTTAGGGATGCGAGGAAGTACTCCTTAATACCCATGCTTGATATGATAGTTCGAACGTTTTCTGATTGGTTTAACTAGCATAGGAACGAGTCCGTGGCAGGAACGAGTGCTCAGAAACTGGTTCCTTTGGTTGAGAACTTCTTGCACGACAATTGGCATATAGCTGAGAAATTAGATGTGAGGGAGGTAAACGGTTGTGACCTTGAATACGAAGTCATGTCAGAAGAGGGAAAGTTTTATTTGGTGGACTTGGCCAATAAAACCTGCAGTTGCAGGTTCTTCGATATTCATAGGTATCCTTGTATCCACGCATTAGTCGCTTTCTTCTCCTTCAAGAATAATGGAAGGCGTGATATCCGCATAGAATATTATGACGTGTTTGAAATACTATTTCTTGGAGATGTGGATATTGGGTTATAGCAGATCGATCTATGTGGTGCCTGATATGTCTGTGTGGATTGTACTGGATTACATCATGGAGAAGGAGATAATACCTACGGATCGCGTCAAGAAAAAAGGTCGTCCAAAAGAAAAAAAGATTTCCATCAACGGAAGAAAGGCGCCGAAGGGGAAGGACACAGAACAAACTCAAGCGGGGAAGGACACTAGCAGGGTTACTATATGGAGAATACTTTGCATGATGTAAAAGTTTTAACTTTTAAGCTTTTGTTACGTGTAATTCGTTTTCGCTTTCGTAATACTGTGTTATGATTTATGTGTAGTACTGGTATAACTATGCATGATTGGTGATTTTTCAAAGTAATTATGTATTGTTATTTAAAAATCAAAACTAATCACCTAAATTAGTTAATTTTGTTATAACTACAACTTATATGTCATACAAACCTAAGAATTAACAAAATACAAGTTCAAACTTATTGTTGCACCAGAGTTCTAATATCGATCTTTAACATTCCCTTATACTTTAAGAAACACTTTCTTATGGAGAACCAACTTGTTAAGTGAATGGTAAAAAAATACCATATTCAAACTTATTGTTGCATAGGACAATGATATTCATATGTAAAACCATATAATTAAACTGTAATACTAGAAAATATAAGTTTTAGGTGATGGAATATATGTTTTAGGTTGTGTAATACTATTTCAAGATTCTGTATAACTGACAATCTGGTATTACTATGTGTATTTTTTCGGCAGAAAATTGAATTTTTTCGCAGGAGAGTGTACTTTTCAAAATATTTCGATCTAATCTAAAATTCAGAGTTTCATTACAAACTCTCGAACCTCTCTCTGTCTCTTAAAATCGATATCTCTCTCTCTCTCTCATCCTCTCCTCTCCCTCTCTCTCTTAAAATCGATCTCTCTCTCTCTCTTAAAATCGATCTCTCATCTCTCTCTACAAATGGATTTGGATTGTAGCTATCACTACACGGAAAATTTCCTCATCGACCCATACGAGGAGGATTTGAAGGAAGTAAAGAGGCGCCACAAGGAAACGGAGAAGATGAAGCAGCATTGGGACATGGTTGGATTCGTCGCCGACGGCCAATATGGGATTCCGAGAAGATGCTCATGTGGTGGATCTATCAAGCACGATGTATCTCTTTCTCCAAAATTTAAACACGATTTCGATACTCAGCCAGGCAGTAGGTACTTCACATGCACCAAATTTAAGGTATAATCTCTATAATTTCAGATCTGGGTTTTTTCTGGGTAAAACTAGTAAAACTAGGTTAAACTATTTAGATGTTTGTCGAGTGTAAAACTTGGAATACTAGGTATAACTATAATGGATGTTGCTCATTTTTTTGTCTTTTTGCTATGATGATGGACTCCACTTTCGTCAGCCATGGGTTTTCGGAGTCGAACAAGAGATTCCGAAGCTAGTTATGAAAGTTGAAGAGCAGAGCAAGACGATTGAAGAAATGCGAAAACAGATTCAGATCCAAGCCGAAGAGATAGCCAAGCTCAAGACTTAGCGAATCTGCAATTTCTTTTAATTATTGTTTTAATTGTTGTTCAAGACTAACGTTTCTATTTTGCTTATATTTTTTTAAGTTATCAGTGATATTTTAATTAGTATTACTAATGTTAGTATCACCTAGTATTACTAACTTTTCTTAGTATTTATTTTTCTAGCAACACTTACTACGACTAGTTTTACCTAATAATACAGGAATTCAATAATTCAAATTAAAAACATAGTTCATCCGAGATCGAAAATAAAAACATAGTACTAGTTCCAAATAAAAATAAAGTAATAATTCCAAATAAAAACAAAATACTAGTTCCAAATAAAAATTTTCTAGCAACACTTACTACGACTAGTTTTACCTAATAATACAGGAATTCAATAATTCAAATTTAAAACATAGTTCATCCGAGATCGAAAATAAAAACAAAGTACTAATTCCAAATAAAAATAAAGTACCATTTCTAAATAAAAACAAAGTACTAGTTCCAAATAAAGACAAAGTACTAGTTCGAAATCAAAAGTAAGCTCAACCAAATATAAAAACAAAGTAGACGATTTATCTTGTTCAAGAGCCTGAATCCTTTCTCGCTTTCACATAGTCTTCAAGTGGCTTTATCATGTCATCAATTTTATGGACGATGTTGTTGAGCAAACCCAATTGCTCTGTCATGGTCTCCATCGCGCTAACAACATCCTCCAAAGACATTTTCTTAGCTCGGGGTTTTTTCCTTGCTCTTTCCTCCACCATTTTTTCTCGCCCTTTCACATCTTCCTCCTTCATGTCTTCAAACACAACCGTCAATCCATTATCAATACGTTTTTCCCAACTTTCCACAACAGGATCATGCTCATCAACATCGTCCTCCGTTTCCATTATCAAATCCAACATCGCATTCTCCTCCTCCGAAGCTATCAGCACACTATTAATGTCATGTCAAGTTAAACACATTTAAACAACCAATGTTAACAAGTTTCATTTTTTTTTTCAAATCTGCAATGACTACTAACCTTGTTCTCGCATCTGAGCTTTTGATACACAGTCTCAAGTGGCCAGCCTCTCAGGTCGCATTTCTTCCACTTGGACCTGCACATCCTCGGACAATCGACGCTAGGATTTGGTACAGCTTCTCGGAAGCTCTGTCTCAGTGGCATAATGGCCTCCATCCCCAAAAGCTACAAACATACGCCTATAATTAGACTTACCTGCAATAGACAATCTTAAAATGAAAAGGAAAACAATGCAAAAGACAATCTTTTACCTCCAATGGAATGCAAAAATCAGAAAACGACCATGCACTGCCCAACCCCTTCTCAACAAAGTGCTTCATCGTATCAGAAATGGACTCTAAGATGCGATCAAAAGATAATCTCCCCCAAGAAAATGTCTTACACTTATCCAAATCATCAGCGTATTTTAAAAATACATTGAGCACGGGTTTTGCATTGTCTCCGGTTTTGGTGGGAGAGTAGATGATGCTGCTCAAGAAATACAACACCGCCATCCTGAGCCTATCTCCACTATCATCCGGGCCCATCTCCTCAAGTTTTTTCTTCACATCCTCCCTTAAAACCTTCTTTTTGTCAGGAAAATACTTTCGCTTCAAGTAAGAGTCGCCTCTTTTATTCCAATAGAGAGGGTAGTTGCTGCAATTGAGTCCTGAGATCATAGCATGCTCTCGTAACCCATATCGAACTGGAACGCCATTCACCACAAACCAAGCCTCCTTCTGCCATTCGATCCTAGCAGTACGCAGCAACAACATCGACAATGGTTGAATCATATGATTGCTCTTCGGCATGTGAAGAATGTGGCAGAACTGCGGATGCTGCTTAAACCACTCTCTTTCCGTCGGAGTCAGATCCACTTTCTCAAACGTCTCCATAACTTCTTGGACGAAACATCGTGTTGGTAGTTTAATGCTCTTGCTATACTGATCAGGCTTCAAGTACATGTCTGGTCGCATAGCAATCGTCTTTTCAAAGGCACCCTGCAACATACATACAATATTAATACCAAACTCAGAATATTACAACATAATACTAGTTTTACCCAGTTTTCTTAGTTTTACCAACATGCTAGTATTACCTAATTATCCTAGTTTTACAATTTCCGACAATTGGGAATTAAGAATTGTGATCAAAATGCAATAGAGTTGGAGAAGGAGATAATTAACTTACAGGATTCCGGCCATCGGAATCACCAACTCTGGAGAAGTTACCCACCTCCGTCGTTTCTGCTTCAACATTCGGAGGAGGAGGAGTCGCCTCTCGAGCCGTAACCAAAACCCCCTCCGTCGTTTGTGCTTCGACAATCGGAGGATCCTCTCCACCCGGAATCTCCTCCGTCGTTCGAGACGTCGTTCCCGATTTTGTTGTCTTACGCTTCTTCGCGGCCGGCTTCTGACTCGGGTTCGGGTTCTCCGCCGGCATTTTTTGCTTCTTCGCCGCTGGCTTCTGACTGTTCGGGTTCTCCTCACGCATTTTTCTCGTCCTCGGCATCGTTTGTTTCCGTCGATTCTTCCTCTTTCTACCGCTGCGCTAGGTTTTTTCTCCGGTTTCGGTGAGACGGTTGCGAGATGAGTTTTGATGAGAGGAGAGACGATTCAGTGGTATGAGAGAGAGATGATTCGATGTTTTTGAAATATTTGAAAGAATTCCAAAATATTTGAGAAATTTTCGGATCTAAGCCGGACTCAAATCCGATCCATCGAAGAATCCGAATTTTCTCAGATTAGATCCAGGTACAAATGATAATTTCATTAGATTTAGTCTGGTTTTCAGTAATTTTCTTTTTTTCTATTTAATTTTTTTTTTTGTAAAACGTTTTAAATTGAAAGAGGAGCATTGCAGCACAATAAATAAGCGAGAGGAGCATTATAAACGATTTCTTAGAGAGTACGACGATCGAAACCCTAGATTCCCTTATCGCTTGCACAAGAGCTGGGCTAATCGAGTGGCCACGCTCGATTTGACTGTCTTTGAATACTGTACGGACTAGTTTGCGATCGAGTGCAGCGATAAGGTGGCTGAGGAATGATTGGCGAACATCTTCGCCTCTGAAGCTTGGGAACATCTGTAAGCTATGATGGCGAGATGAAGAAGAGAAAGCCATTAACAGAGAAGAAGAAGAAGATTAACGAAAGAAATTGTGAAGGAGAAAGTAAAGTAAAGATTGACGAAAGAAATTTGTGAGTCACTGTTACTGACACTAATTTCAAATTAGAGTAATATGAGCATGAGTAATGGTAATACTGAAGATGAGGTTCTTAAACATATTATATGATTAAATTTATTATTAATTTAAATTAAGAATTTTATTAACTTCTTTTTAATTTTAACGTCTACAATGGAAAGACTGTATAAAGTTCTTAATTTTTTTTTGTTTTGAACAAGACGTAAGCTATTCCTTTTCCAATGTTCAAGTGAGGATCACTAATAACACGAACAGCTTCTATACTGTTCTCTAGGTTACTCTTCCCAGTAAACAATTGATACACCTCCTCGTCCTGAGTCAGAGATAAGCAAAACATAAACTGAGATTCTGATATAATGTTCTATAATCGCAATTGAACAAGAGAGCCCTGAGATTACTGCTACTAACCTTCACATCGAAAGGGAGGTTACCCATAAAGACTGTCCTCTTAGAATCATACAAATAATCATCTTGACCTTTCAGTTTCTTACGAGGCGGGCATCCTCGATCAACGCGGATATGGTTCCCATCGATCTGAAATGTAATCACAATACATTAAAACATAATTCCTTAGACCCAACCACAGAGAAAAATAAGCCAAAACAAGTTATATTACCAGAGACATGTTATGTGCCAGAGAAGCTTCAGCAGATTGCTCTGTTTCAAACACAACATAGGCATGAACACTGCACTTTCAAAAAGATCAATATTAGGCTTTTTTCTTCACGGAAACTTCGAAATCAAATCTCACAATAAAGTTCGAATAAAGGGTTTTCTTTCAAGCACAGACCTTGACGCTTTCTCATTGTTTTGTTTCAACATTATAGCTCCTTTCCTCGTCTTCTTCGACTAATCAATCAAAAATCAAAACAACATCAGAAAACATTGAACATAAATGCAACGAAAATTATATAGCTAAGAAATCTGAACTTACATCGACAATGGGAAAAGAACGTATACTGACGGATTCAACTTCACCGAATTTACTAAATTCCTTCAAGATCAGCTTCTTCTTAATCTTTAGCGGCAAGTTCCCAACGAAAACGGTTCTGAGAAGCTTACTCTCGTCATCAAATCCTTCCTTCGAGACCATCGTATCCGCTTTCTTCATCGGCTTTCTTCCTCTTCTCACTGTTTTTTAGATGTCTGCAAACAAGATAGCAACATAATGGGTTAATCAGCAACAATAAAGAAGTCTGGACACAGACTGCAAACAAAGATTTATTTTGAAAACATGATATACAAAGATTTAGCGTTTAATCATCTAGACACAGACTGCAAACAAATGTATTCTGGAAGCAATTGAAAGAATGCCATTTTTCTGCGTAAATGTATTCTGGAAGCAATTGAAAGAGCATTCACTAAGTGGTTAGACAAATAAAGAGATTAGCCATTCATTAAGAGAGAGCAAGTCGCGACTTGTATATATACAATCAACATACTATTCATCTGTTAGGCAGCGACCATTCATGCTGCTCTGTTGGAGAGAGCCTCGTGATTGATTCAGAAGAAGATAGCTAACTCTATAGAGTAAAACTAGAGATACCTTTTACACAAGAGAAAAAGAAGAAAAGAAGACACTCTCTCATCACATTGTTTTAATGTACTTGTTCAAGGTGACTGCACTCGATCCAACACAACATGTTAATGCAGATGCTACACGTTACGAAACCTCTAGAGGACAGGGAAGGTACACAAGATAGCATGTCTCAAAGGCACTTACCCTGAATTGAACATGTGGATTCTGCAACGTAGCTATCTTCTTTTTTCAGCCTTACGCACATTTTGTTTTTGTTTTTACTATTAGAATACATACTACAGTTGGTACTATGAAGGAATCAGAGACTGTTCCTTTCTGCTCTTAAACTATAAACTATGTTTATATATATGTGTATAAAAGGTATATGAATGTGAGTAAATTTTAAGAATTTCAAGATCAATCATCTGATAACGATCACAGAGATACATGCCTAAGATAATAGTACTTGTGTTCACAGCAAAGAAAGCGTAATGATGCACAGATAGTCAAAATCACACAAAATTCCTTTTATCATGAATTATTCAATTCCTTACACACCAAAAGTATTCAAGAAAGCCTTACACACCAAAAGTATTCCTTACACAGTCTGCCTGAATATCTTTCCAACTTTACTCAAAAAAGCCATTTTCTGCGTAAATGTATTCTGGAAGCAATTGAAAGAGCATTCACTAAGTGGTTAGACAAATAAAGAGCAATTCAAACATCAATTCAATGATCAATAAAAAAGAGTTGCACAAGAGAATCGTAAACAATTCAATGGTCAATAAAAAACATCAATTCAGTGCTGAAATATCAATAAACACATCTTAACTCTAAATCAAATTACTAGAGTTGCACAAGAGAATCGTAAACAAATAATGAGCAGAAAACAAAACAAACAGAGAACGATCCAGTTTCGGATCAGCGAATGAAACAACGGAATATCAAATCGAAGCACTAAAATCAACAGAAACGAACAACTTATAACAGAGAGAGAAAGAAGAATCTATGAGATTGTACCCACTCTCTAGAGTTTAACGGAGACGACCTCTCTGGAAGCGTCTTTCAATCCTCGCCTTGGGAAGATCCTTGACGACGATGTGAGAAGAAGAAGCTCCGGCGTCACTGGAGTCGTGGTGCTCTTTGTCGGAGAAGAAGAAAGAAAACCGAAGATGGATCGATAGAAACGATAAAATCAATTTTTGTTTTTCAACCAAATTTTTTTTTCTCGACAAATAAATGTATGACACTGATAGAAGAGGCGATTCTATTACTCATGCTCTAAACCTTCGCTGACCGAAATAGTTGTAGTTGACTTAGACCATCTCTATTGGCCTCTCTTACCAAATTTCTCAATATTAAATATTAATAAAATAAAAAATAAAAAAATAAGAGAGAATAGATACTGTCTCTCAAATGAAAGACTATTAAAGACTTATCTCATATATTTTCTTCATATGATTGGTTAAAATTTTATTTATAATTTATAATTAAAAATATCAATTAATTTATATTAAAATTATTATTATTACATTAATGAAAAACCATGGAAATCTTTCACTAATACAGATGCTCTTATATTTTTATGCAAGGAATATATACTATGATGATAGTCATTGACAATTGGATATTTGGGTTTTATTGAAATTTGTTTTAATTAATTTTTGAATATCAATTTACTGCACCAACAAAAAGTATTATTATATTTAGTTTTAGAATTTATACATATAAAAATCTTTTAGCATTTTGTTTCCGTAATGCTAATGATTTTTTTATAGTGTTTTAGTAAGATTGCATTATATTAATGCATATAATATTTAAATATTTTGATAATTATATTGCAAGTTCGAGTTAAACAATATGTACTATATATTTCTTATGTGAAAAAGATTGTTGCATTCACAAACCAAGTATTAATCGAAGGGAAAATGATGCCAATGTTTTCGTCTGGTTAAGAGCCACCATATATAAAGCAGACTATTCCTTATTCATCGCCAGACCAGAGAGAAAGGAGAACTCTTCAAGAGTAGACACAATCGTTTGGAGAGAGTTAGGCTTACCATAATAGAAATCATCACCTCATCCACAAAGGAGAGATGGTAGATCATAGGGTTATAAACTTTTGGATGAAACCCGATCTCACCGTTGTTAAATTTGGAATTGATAAGGATCGCAAAAATATCCATTGCCATGATGAAAAAAGAGAAAATTAGTCCTGAGAGCCTTTGAAATAGTCGTAAATTGATGAAAACGGGAGGGAAATCTGCAGCTCTCAGCACTTTGAGAATGAAGTTCCATCGTACTGAGTCAAAGGCTTTGCAGATGTCAACTTTAAGAAGTCCCTTTCGAGAAGTGTGTTTCTAACTGCAGCCCTGAACCAGTTTCGTAGCCAGAAGGATGTTTTCCACGAGGAGACGGCCTTTCAAAAACGTAGAGTTTTAAATCATACCAAGTAAGATTGATTGAAGCCTTCTAGCTAGGATATACAAAACCACTTTGAAGACGGTATTGCAACAAGATATGAGTCTGGAGTCTTTAACTGAATCAGCTCCCGTGTGCTTAGGGATCAGAGCATGGATCATGGAGTTAAGCTGCTTACGCATCTGTCTCAAGTTGAAAAATATCAAGAGTAGCTTCTGTGAATTTGTCACCAGCAGTTTCTCAAGCACCTCTGAAGAACTTCAGAGTGTATCCGTCAGCCGGAGATTTGTTGAGGGGAAGAGAGAAGAGTTCCCTCTTGATATCCTCAGGATAATCGGGAGCAGACAATAATGCTTGATCAACATGGGTACATCTGAACTGGGTAAGAGCACCAATTACGGCAAAGGCGACTGAGGGGAGCGGCTGAACAAAGCTACCAAGGAAATTCATATGGAACTCAACGCAACACTTCAAGATTTCTAGCAAAGTCTCAAAGTGAATATGTGAACTGTCTATCAAGTAATGAATTTGATTCATGGAACGTCCGACTGCCATGAATCGATGAAAAAAAGAGTGTTCTTGTCACCACACTCAACCCACGTAACCCGACCTTTTCTTCATGAACTGCTCCTCTGCAAGTGCCAAATCAGCCCAAACCTTGTGGGTTTCCTTCTCCAAAGCCGCGAGTGCCAGGGATGGAGAGGAGAGCATATTCGCTTAGCAAATAGTTAGGTTGTTAAGAGCTACCGAAACTCGTTTCTCCAGATTAGAGAAGTGATCTCTATTTATATCTTTAATGGTACCCTTAAGAGCCTTCAGCTTCTTGAAACGGCAAAACATCTTTGTGCCTTCAAACCGCAATTCCTCCCACGCCACTGTGGTTCTAGGCACAGACTCTCGGTGTTTTGCTATGAAGTTTGAGAATTTGAACGAATGATTTTGAGGTTCTTGGGACCTTCCAAGTTGAACACAAGCAGGGATGTGGTCAGAGAAGAGAGTTTCCCAGAAATGGTCAAAAGAGAGGGGGTAAGCCAGCAGCCAGTTATCGTTGACAAGGACTCGGTCAAGCTTCTTCACTATGGGGGTGCTTACTTGATTGTTCCACCAAGTAAATTGGTTTCCTCTATAGGATAAATAGAACTCATTTTGAAATGACTACTCCCTAGATACCCATGTCTTTTATTTTACAATTGAATAAATTTAATTAAAAAAGACCTTCCTGTTTTGGCATTTCTAATTTCCGGAGTTTTATCTCCAATTAGGAAGGGGCCAAAGAAACTTTCTAGTTATGAATCAGGTATTGAACCGATCGGGGATGCTTGGTTACAATTTAGAATTGGCCAGTCCTGAAGAGAGCAAGCAGTTGCGAAACTCAGACATACCCCCTGTGATCCGAGACTTTTCCCTTGAATCATCACTTGGATTAAGTGATTAGTTGAAGTCACCTAGCACTGCCCAAGGGTTTGGGGATGTTCTCGGATCTGATGCTAGCTGATTGAGCTCCTATCGCTATTCACTTCTATCATATTTACAATTCAGTGCATAAACAAATGTAAATAAGAACTCCTGAGTCATGTCTGGAAGCTTGACCGAATAAGTGATGGACATTTTGGACTTTTACACCACCGTGAGAGTAACAAAAGGATCCCAGAGGATCAAAATTCTCCCAAGGACCGAGAACTCATAATTGCAAACGTAATTTCATCTCGGGAAAGAAGAGTTGATAAACTTGAGAGATTTCTGGTCCTTCACTTTATTCTCTATAATACTACCATAAGAGGCTTTTATATGTTTAAACCACCTACGAAAATTGCTACGTCTTATTGAGTTGTTAAATCTGAAAACATTCAAACAAAAAAAGTCGATCTTCATTAGAGTTATGTGGGTTTGGGGCCTTTGCCCCTATCCGTAGTTCTAGCTTTCTTCTCTTTGCGTTGCCTTTGGAAAACAACTGCAATGAATATTTCATTATCTTCAGGCTTATCATCCTCTTCAGAGTAGTAACTTGGCTCCTCCGAGCTAGCAGCATTACTTGAAGAGGGAAATTTCTCAGATTACGAAGAGGATGAGAGTACGTTCGTGTTCTTCATTGATGAACTACCTCGAAGCTTACGCTGATTCACAGTAGCCCCGAGAATCACTATTCTCTTTCTTTTTGCTTTGGTCTCCGTTTGCTTCGCATGGGTATCCACTGGAACATACATCTTAGTTAGTTATTTCCTTATCTTCTTCTTCTGTTTTTGAACCTTTGGAATAGGCGGGTTCTTTTTTATTCTAGGGCAGCCTTCGGAAGTATGCATTGTGAACTTGCAAGCTGAACAAGTGACTGGTTCCGATGGGAAACGAAGGATTGAATGCCCAATCTGGTTGCAGTGCTCACATGTTTGTGGGACCCAGGGAGATGAAACTTTAACCCTATGTGCCTGGCCTGATTGAAACCTGACGTTAACAAACTCTGGAAGAGGCTTAGAGGGATCGATTATCGTGAGAACTTTTGCAACTTCAATGTTTGTCATGCTTAACGTAGTTGAATGGCATTTCACCATGTCTCCAACGAGACTAGAAACATGCTCTAACCCTTCCTCTAAATAGAATTGGAGAGGGATATTTCGGAAATCAACCCACACTGGAGCCCAGGTGAGCGATGGAACCTCAGGTGTGAGTCCTGGTTCCCAATTACTAACAAACATCAACTGATTCTCTATGTGCCACAATACTTGAACAAGGACTCTCTTCGTAGTAAAGGGACAAGGAATACTTATTAGGAAAGACCGATCAGTGAGCTTGGATACGGTAATGTCTCAAAGCCTGTTACTCCAAATGTCATTGGTAATAGCATAAAGAGCTCCCAGGGAAGGTGCTTTGCCGTGGAATTGAACCAGAATGAAGCTCTCCCAACGATGTTGGTTGCGAGAGATGACCTCATTTGGTATGGTGACACAAGGTTCACCAGAGTCGAGGACATAGATCTCCTTTTTCTTGACCATTTTCTTGTTTGAGGGACTAACAACCTCATCCCAAAATGGCTTACTGGAGTTCTCAGGTTCGACGGCGTTAACCTGCGAAGCTGGTGACTGAATGTCGGTGGACTTAAGCACCACCATAGTACTGGTGTCAGAGGCGGCTGAAGAGGGAAAGTCTGAAGGTTTCAGGCACTTCAGAGTGGCCGATTTAGTCGGGGGGGGGGGGGGGGGGGGGGGGAGATCGCTGATCTGATAGAATTATCCAAATTCAGAGACTCTTGCCGATCTTGGGGGGAGACAGCCGATGGAGAGGGAGGAAGCCGAGCTGGAGAGCGGTCTTTGAAGCCATTAGAGGGGCTGAAATCTAGAGGTTTCTTTTTCTTAACCATGGGGTTTGCCGGTGGTGGGGACCACAAACCGATGCCGGTGAGATATTAGGTTTTTTAGAGAATCGCCTTTTCAATCGTCCTTTTGAGGAGAGAGAAAAATTTTAATAATTAGATAATTTTACGTTTAAAAATTATCTATAGGCAATACTTTTACTATTGTTCTATATGCGATTTTAGATTTGTCGTGAGTGTGTGCAAGAACGATTACTCCTTACACTAAACCACAAGAAAAGGCATGAACATACTCTCTCCTACATTCCTAGAGAAGCTTCTATGATATGCGATGTTTGTGCTTTGGATGATCAAAGGTATTTTATCTATGTTTGCCATCAATGCGATTTTGTAGTGCATAAAGAATGTATCTATTTTTCATGGATCATAAAAATATCTCGCTATGAACACCAACTAACTTTTATTTCTTCATTTAATCTTGGAAAATGGTTTTGCGGGAGTGAGAAATTTGATGTTGATTATGAAGGATATTTGTGGGTCAAATATTACCATTATGTTATTCATTCCAAGTGTGTTATACATAGTAGTACA